GCCGCAGCGCTTGAGCATGGTGGGGTGGCGGCCGCACGGTGCGCCCTGCCCCGGCACACCACGGCCGAAGCTCCGCGCCCCCTCTGCAAGTTCAGCTGTGCAAGGCCCGAGTCCCGCGCTCTTAAACCTCCCCAGAGTGGCTCCGCCCCCCTGAGGGCGGAGCGCTCCATGAGGCCCCGCCCCTAACACAAGCTCACTGGCTCCAGGGCCCTGGGGCGGGGCCTCGCCGGGTTGCCCGCGACACCCGGCAACACCCACGTGGGGCCACGGCGGGGGTCTGGGAACTGAAGGGCCGTTGCCTTGGGCTCCCGCCCCCTGTGCGCACGTGCACGCCCCGCTCCGCCCGGATCTCCCCTAATGGGCAGCCGCGGGGCGTGGGGATTTGGGCCCACCCCGCCCTGGTGGCCCTGAAGGGGAAACCGAGGCTAGCGCAGCGCCGGCTGGGGCCGTACAGGGCGTCTGGCATATGGAGGGACGCGCCTTCGGTGCTGTGACCGGGATTCTAGGACAGTGACTTGGGGCTCAATCGTCCCGAGGTGGGTTGCGGGACGTCCTTACTTCCTCGCTGTGCGCTTCCCCTCCCCGAGCCCCACTTCCTCCCCTAGGGACAGTGCAGGCCAAGTAACAGGGTCGGCGCCTGGGTGGACCTGAGCACTCCATCCAGAACAGCCGGTATTAATATCGAGGAGGCGTTTAACCACCTGAGCCACAGGTAGGGACAAGAGTTTCCAGCGAGAAAGCACCTTACCAAATTTCACCCCAGCCCCAGCGCCAGTTTCCTCGTCGAAGCCCAACGTCGTGAGGGTGCGGGCCGTAGTTCCCCCGAAATTCTCTGGCGCCCCGTGGCGAGAAGAAATCGAGGCCGCCCCTCCCCGCGCGAGATGAAAGGCCGCCTTCTGTCCCATTTGTTCCCTCTGCGCTCGGGCCAGATGTGGCCCAGCTGTGCCCCCACCCCTCCTCCCCGGCACACGGCGGCCTCCACCCCCTGCCCTTCCCACGGGCTGGGCCGGCCCACCGCACGAGCAGGCGCGGCAGGAATGCGCGCCGGCAGCCGGGGTTGAGGGTGAGAGGCGAGGGGCGCGGAAGTGGCCAAGGGACCCCCGTCGCGAAATCACGGTCTGAGCCCCCTGCCTGCAGCATCTTCCGGAAGCGCTGCTAGGGGCGGCTCTCTGCTTGGCTGCGCCTCCTTCCCCTCCCTCCCCAGCTCCTCCGCGTCCCTTCCTGAGGACGCCCTCAGCGACCACCACAGCGAAACTGGTACCTCTTTGGCGCTCATTCTGCCCACTGGCCAGTTATCTTCACAGCACTTCCCTCTGCTTCATGGCACCCCCCCATGGGCCTAGAACATAGTAGGTGCTCTATAAAGATTTATGGGGCATGTCTGGCCCTGGTCCCAGACTCACGCCCAGGGGGCCTGGCCCATTTGCTCTTAGGGCCCTGGGGCCTTCCCCCTTGCCCCTCTGTGATGGGGTGAGGGGGGGATGGGAGTTCCCAGGCCTCTTCCTGTACCCACCCCCAAGGTAATTAGCAGGCGCCACCTCAGGCAGGCAGATGCCTGAGCAGATGGTGCTAGCTGTGCCCAAGTGACGAGACTCCCATGGAGTCACCTCCTGCCATAAACCACCCCCATCAGCCAGAGCACAGCCTGCAGAGGTGGGGGTGGGCAGGGCAGGAAAGGACCCGATGGCTGCGGGGCCATCCCCACACAGTCAGCTGAGCCCCAGAACAACTCCAGCCTCACATCTGGAGGGTCTCTGTGCCCCCAAGTCCCTTGCCCCATCACCAACTCTTACCTACCCCATGTCTGGGCTATTCTGAGAGGGAGCCTCCTCCTCGACCTTCGTCTCTTCCCTGGACCCCTTGGACAGCCTCCACCCTGGTCTCCTGTCCCCAGTCTACCTGCTCTGCTTACTCTCCACTCAGAAACCACACAGCTCTGATCACACCCTCACCCCTACCCCCGGACCACACAGACACACACACACACACACACACCAAAATCTTTGGTGGTTCCCCACTGCCTCTGAGTTCAAGTCCTGGTCTGGTGTCCAGCTTGGTCCCAGCTCAGTCCCAGCTCGGTCCCAGCTCCACAGAAATGCTGCTCCCAGCAATGCTTCCCCATTGCCCAACAGCCCAAACACCGTCAAGCCCCCACATCTTTGTATGAGCTGTGCCCTGTACCTAGGATTCTGGCCAGTGGCACCCATAGTTAGTGGTACCCACTAAGCACTGAGCAGCCTGCCAGAGGCAGGAGGGGGAGCAGTACACAGCCATGCCACCCTCTATGCCTACCTGATGAGGTCCTGTGAGCCAACCTCTCTGTGACCCCTAGCCCAGGGGGTGGGACTCCCCGCCCTGCACCCTACAGCACCCCTGCTTTCTCTGACTCATGCTCCCCAGCCCCTTCTACACAGCCCTGGCTGCTGTGCCTTTGACACACCAGGCATCGGAAGTGATGTGCCCATTGTACAGAAAGCAAGTGGAGGCTGGAGAAGCTCTGTTGCATTGCACTCCGGGAGGGGGAGCAACTGTACAGGGGGATTGGCTCAGCTTGGCAGGGGCATGGCATCAAGTCCAGCAGGGGTTTTCTGCATTTCTCTGCAGCCAGACCTGCTGGAAGTGGGGGGACCTGGGCACAGCTGCCTATCTGGGAACAGCAGGACAAAGCTTTGCAGCATTCTTGTGGGGGCCGTGGGCTTTGGCAAGAGTGATTCAATTTCTTTGCTGTCAGGAGAATGGAATTTTGTGGTGACTCCTTGAGGTCTGAAAACTGTAGGGGGGTGGCCGGCCTAGCTGCCCCTGCCCCCTTCCCCAGGCTCAGCTCCAGCCTGAGGCGCTGCTCCCCTCCCCTGCCCTCACCCTAGACCCAAAGGCTCCCTCCAGGGACCCACTGGGCCAAGCAGCTATGACGGGTGGGTGAGAGGAGGAGGTGCTGGGCCCAGGACAGGAAATGGGGAGTCCGGAGGGGATGGAGATAGCTGACAAGGTTGCCAGGACGCCCCTTGAGGCTTTAGGGTCCTCAGGAAGGGGGAGAGGGGAGAGGCTGTACCAGGACCCTCCCCAGGCAGGGACAAACAGATGCAGCCTTAGGGGCTGGGGGCTTCTGGAACCAGACTGCTTGCCCTCCAACCCCAGAGTGGCTGCTTCTCAGCGTTAAGGCTCTAGACATGGGACATTCCTCCTCTGAGCCTGTTTTCCCACCCTTACACGAGGATGACACTACTGTCCATCTTATCAGGTGCTGACAAGTCAGGCAAGCAGACAGCCTGGTCCTCTCGCCCAGGGACTTGGGCCTGTGCATCTCCTGAGCAGCTGGCCTGTGCTCCACATGCCCCTCCAGCAGCCCCAACGTGGGGCTCCCGGCCAGCCAGGTGGCAGAATGGCTTAAGACCTACCTAATGAGGTTGGGTGGAGACTTGGCTGAGACAGGGGGCCCACATGGCCCGCGAGGCCCCAAAGGGCTCCACGCCGCCTTCCCTGTCAGGTTCCGCGGAGGTTTTGTGTCCTCAGCCGAGCTCAGGACCCCTTTCTCAGCTGGGGCTCAGCTTGGGGCCTCCTGCAAATGGGATCAGTCCCAGCAGGTTCTAGAAGCCCATTCTGCATCCTGGGGGCCTTGGGGCTAGCCTCCGCTGGGTGTCTGTTTCCTGGGAAGATCCAGGAGACATAATGGGTGACCCATTAACTCACAGGAAGTCATCCAAGGCAGTACTCCTCAGTGTCCGGCAGCTTGGGGGCCTCAGACACCAGGATGCCGGCAGGCTTCCTAAGAGACAGTGAGTGGCATGGCCATGGTGGTCCAGTAAGGGCCCCAGCCCAGAAGCTTCTGGACGAAGAGCCAGTGCTGGCAGGAGGGGAGGTAATCGAGAAGGGTTGGCTTAGAAGCTCGGCACGGCAGCTCCATGGCAGGGAGGGATGGGGCGGCAGACAGCGGCAGCTGATCCCCGTTACTGCCCCAGGAGAGGAACAGACAGCCTACAGCTGCAGACGAGCCCCGAGCTCAGGCCCGGCCGCCCGCCTGCTTCGCCCAGGACCCCGCAACCTCAGCCCACGCTCTGGGTGGTCTTGGGCCAGTTTCCTTCTCTCTGTGGGTCTTAGGATGTTACTTGACTCTATATGAGGGACGTCGCTGCTGCCTGCCCTGCCCTGCCCTGCCCACCCTGGGCTGCCTAGGAGTTGGCAGTAAAGCACCAATGAGCACCGGTGGCCTGGCCTTTTGGCCTGAAACCTGGAGCCTGGCGTGGTCAGGGCAGCTAGGCCGACTTAGCTTGGGTGGCTGATTGAGGCTTCGGGGAGCATCCTTCGAAGCCGGCCAAGTGCTAGCTCTCCTTGGAAGTCCCCCCCCCGCCCCTGTGGTACCGCCAGCCTGGCACTGGCCACATAAGAGTGCAGCTGCCTGTTGCCCTCCCTCCCTCCCCAGCCACCTTGGGAGCTCCAGGAAGGCACGGGGCCATCTCTTCCCCCTCAACATCTGGCACAAAGTAGTCGCTCAACAAACCTGGTTGACCAGATGAGGAAGTGGACAGATGGATGGATGGATGGACGGACAGGTGGACGGATGGACAGGTTGGGTGGATGGATGGATGGAAGGTTGGGTAGATGTGGACATACAGATATACAGAGACTCAAGAGAGCGTACCGTCTCCCTGGCCCACTCCCACCCAGGGGAACACGGGCCTCTGGGTAAGAAGGCCTGGCAGGGCCGCCCACTGAACTCTGAGCTGGCGCTGGGGATGGGACCTGAGGGCAGGGCTGTGGTGGGTGGCAGGGGCTGAGACCCATGAAAATGACCATCTGCTCAGTGTTTGCCCTGCACTGGGGAATGGGAACATTTCTGGGTACACCACTTCAAGAAGTTCTCAAAAGTTCCCACTCAAACTGTTGGTCTTACAGATGGGTAATGGGGGGTCCAGGGAGGGGAGG